TGCAATCTCATTACGTTTATGGACTGAGGGCTGGTTGCAGGCCCCTTCTTCAGTTGCCGGCCTGGGTGGCCAGGAAGCTTGGCTTTCTCCAACGCCAGGGGCAACCCATGCCTCCTGCCCTCTCCAGTTGGCTCTGTGGCCACCGCCATCTTTGTCCTGCTAATTTTCATATTCACTTCTGATTGGCTGGTAGACATCTCAAAGTGACAGTTCATTTACATATTTCTCTTTTATTAGTGTAGATGTTTCTCTCTCTCTCTCTCTCTCTCTCTCCTCCCTTCATCTGAGAAATCTATAAAAATATATATATTTTTTTAAAAGAAAATAGATTTTGTAATTGGAAGATCATTATTGACCACACTGTTTTTGTGTGGATATTTTCAATGACCAAGGCTTAAACTTTGTTTAAAGCCACAATAATATATCACATACTCACTAATTATGATTGTGATTCATGTTAGTCACTAAAAATGACATTTTTCTGTATGTCCTATCTCCCAAGTTGAAGAAATAAATAGAAGTGTGTATGTTACTGAAGTCACAGATGAGTACTCACAAGGATGGGATAAAGAGTGATTGATTATTAAATACTTAACGTTCTCTCTTGTTCTCATGATTTGCAGCTCCTCAGTGGGTTGTGCTCTTCCACGAAGACGCTGCTGTGCATACATTACCATTGGAATGATGTGCTTTTTCATTGGAGTTGGATTAACTGTGAGTATTACTTTCCTCTCAACTTTATCACAATTAAATGAAGAGCCTGCCTCCCTGGCATACCGGGGCCAGAACCTTCTGAAGGCCTATGGGCAATTGGGGAAGTTCAGTCCATGGACCTGTTTTAGTACCGCTCACCCACCCAAGGGAAATGGTATCTTGGGACCCCACTGAAGGTCCTTGGCACTGGGACTTTACTATCCATTTAAGGGAAGCCCATTTGTTTTCACTTAATGCCAGAACCAACCTGGCCATGGCCAGAGTCGAAGCAGCACTCAGTCAGCTATGGAGGTCTGCAAAACCCGTCTTCTCCTTGTTCAAGTGAAGCAGAGGTTGTTGTCATGTGAGTGGCTTGTCTTCAGAGGATGCTGAAGCTAAGCAGTTGGCATGGGGGTAACATGGGGAGAAGAAGGGCTGATCTGCTTTGTTGGCATTTACTTTCCACATATCACTCACCAGGTGAAATTATACAGATTAAGTTCTTTTTAGTAATAACATGTTTTAGTTGGGTTTGTTGTTGTTTTTTTTTTTTTGCTTACTTCATAGAATTTATAGATATAATAGCAGCATCTTAATAATTTTAACCTGTGAGTGATAATCAAAAGTATACAAACTCATTTTATAGAGATTTGTGGCCCCAAGAATATTGTTCAGAAAAATCATATGTGAACCAACACAAGTTCTCCAGTTGATTATTCAGGATGGTTTCTTTGTATTTTAGAGGTAATTCCAGTTTCATCCTTGGAGCGTGTCTGTGTAGCATCCATTTACTCTGCCACCATTTTTAATCTCCCAACACAAGTTATCTAAGTAGATAATATTTTTTTTAAGTTTCCAACCTTTTGTATTTATATTGCTTTCTATTTTAGGTTGGCACCCAAGATTTTGCAAGGCGATTTCATGCAACCTATGTTTTGTGGGCAATTGCTTATCTCTTAGGCTTGATCTGCCTTATCCGAGCGTGTTATTGGGGAGCCATAAAAGTGAGCTATCCAGAACACAGTTTTGCATAAGCTTGCTTATGAGCAAGTGAATCAGGTGAGAGTATCTAGCAGTTTTTGATAAGCTGCTCTGGACATCTTTAAATCCTTTATCCTCATGGATTCCATTCTGGTTTATGTATAAAGTTTCAAGACTTTGGGAGTCTTTTATGAACAAATGCTCATTGCACTACATTATATGCAAATGATAGTTTGTTTTGCTGCTAGGTTTTCAAGCTCTGAATAATAAAGCCGTGTCTTCATGTCCTTTTACATCTCTTAAACATGTTTTTGGATTTGCCACTAAGCATTAGATCACCTTTCATTTTTAAATAGTTATTCCATTACTTGCTGATCTGTGAGTATTACCAAGAAGTATTTATAAATGTTTCTATGTATACTTACATTTTAATTACCATATCAAAATTGCCTGCTTTAAAATCTAAGCAATATGCATTTTGCTTGAACTGCTTTAAGATCATAGTGACCTTATTCAGGAAAAGAATTGAGTGTACCTTCAAATACTTGACATTCTTGTCAGATAAAAACCATTTATAGATACTGTTTGCTTGTTTTTTGTTGTTTGTAGAAAGATACACTATTTTGGTAGTAATTTAAAATACAATAATGAAAATATTTATTTGTCCACAGTTAAAGATGATGCTGGATAAATGCATTTTTTTCCTCAGAGATTACAGGACTTTCGTCTTTTATTTTGTCTGTTGTTTTATTTGCCAATTATATAAGTTCTGGTCTAGATTTATGATTTTAATGTCATAAAATCATAAATGTATTTCTGTATGTATTTCTTTATAATGCCTGAAGCATTTTAAATAACATGTTATATAATAGTTAACCACTTAAACAAAGATATATGTACATTTGCTTGACGTCTTCTTCATTAAACATGATAAATGTTTCCTATTGGGATCATCAGGGACTATTTCTGTGTGAAGGGAGCCTGTGCATTTTATACTAGCTAATATGTTGAGATTAGAAGCAGTTATTCTTACCATTTTTCTCAAATATAGCTGTTCAAGTAATCAAAAATTTATTCATGAAAATAGATTACAGACAAAAAACAACAGTTTTCAAAGAATTCACTAGGATGAAAAAGAAATTGCTTAGTTGAAAAACAATGTTCTAAAGCCCTTAAAGCAGAATTTGAATGAGATGATCTGAGTGAATTAATTGGTTCTTCCAGGGACAAGAACAACATGTTATTTATGTTCCCGATTAGTACAAAATATGTGCTCATCAAACAATTTGGAAGAAAATACATGTATACTTGAAAGAGTAAATGATCTGTATTATAAAAGGTCAGTGGCCATAACGCTGTAACGCCATAATGACCAAACGACCAGTCACCAAGAGGTGCATTGATGGGTCTCACAGTGCTGTGGGTCTCGGTCTCATGGCATGGCAGGTCTTGGGTCCTGCGGCGGGTTTGGGATCTCGTGCAATTTTGCACGCTGGGCCTCTAGTAACTACATAAATGTGGTAGCTCAGGATTACATGTACCTTTGAAAGTACAGTAATAAAGATTATTGTTAAAAAACTACCTTGTTATATTCCATTTGTTAAAAAAATAAGATGTAATTTCCAAAATTGCCTTGAGATCTTATTCTGAATTTTTCATGTTTAAGAACATATATTTCTTTATATATAATATTCACTTATTTTTTCTAGTATCTTCATGGTTTCATTTTTAAAATGTAGATTTCATATCTATTTATAACATACTTGATGTAAGGTATGAAATAAGAATCTAAATTATTTCTTATCTTATTGGTTAACTAATTGTAATAGCATTATATATTAAATAATCCATTATTTTCCTATTCATTTGAAATCTCATTTGATTATATGGTGGGGCAAAGGTAGGTTTATAGTTGTTTGTATGGAAAATAATACACTGATTAATAAATAATAATACAAGAATAAATTCTGTGTTTCACTTTTTTGCTTGGTTCTGGACCACTGCAATAAAGTGAATATCACATTAAAGCAAGTAACTCAAATTTTTTGTTTTCCCAGGGTATATAAAAGTTTATGATCTATTATAGATATTAAATGCACAATACATTTTGTCTAATAAACAGTGTATAATAAACATACCTTAATTTAAAAATTCTTTATTGCTGTAAAATGCTG